CCCGTTTGGCCAAGCTGCAAAAATCAACTTATTTTGAGAAGTGCTTTTTTTCAAAAGTACTTTTCTCAAAAGTGCTTTTGGTGAGAAGCAGTTTGTGTTTGGCTAATTAGTTTGAAAAGCACTTCTGAGCAACAATTAGTGTTTGGCCAAGCTTTAAAAAACTGCTTTTAAGTGTATTTTTCTCAAAAGTGCTTCTCAAAAAAGTGCTTTTGGAGAGAAGCTACTTTTTTCTGCTTCTCCAAAACTGCTTCTGCTTCTCCTCAAAAGCACTTTTTTTCCTTCCAAAAGCTTGGCCAAACACCTCAATTTTTGGCCAAAAGTGCTTTTGGCAAAAAAAAGCACTTTTGGCCAAAAAGAAGCTTGGCCAAAGAGGCTATAACTTGAATGAATATATTGCACCTTGAAATCATCATTCTTAAAAGAGGTGGATTGTCTTCATATGATCTTGTTGGAATCGTCAGTTCAATATCTTCACATAGAGGTGAAAACTCTTGCTATCATATTATCATGCATATAGTTATAGCAAGATACATTTGTGCACAAATTGCATTGAGGATGTAGTACTTCATGACCATGAATTCTATATGCTTTAAGCAATTTAAATCCTTCAGGGATTGTTTAGTCATATAAGCCATATAATAGACTTTAGATGCATATCAAGTTTTCATGTCATGCTAGACATATAATATATCGAAAACTGATTGCACATACCATTGACTTTATACTTTCAAGTGTTTGAACTACATGCATGTTCAAAACTACATATCTTTCATATGAAACCAATTCTATTCGAAATTATTTCACCGGACTTAAGATCCTCATATATATTTAGTGGTATCATAGATGTCGTCGACAAACATTTTATATTGGTTCCAACCTCCTTATTTTTCATAAAGACGTAACATAGAGATCTCTTCATTCATATATTTAGGTACCTAAATCTCTCATGAGATTTTATGAAGTGTTATGTCATGTGATCTTCTAGATCACTTGCCTCCTTTATTATGATCATTTTGATCATTTGCTCATCTTCTTTATCAAGAAGTTTATTTGAAACCGATTTGTCTATATGCTTTAAGCATACCATAGACTTTGTCCTTCTAGGACTTAATGGGAGCATTTGCAACGAGAATATAGTTACTTTCTTTGGGTCAGCAAATGCATTTAGCATGCTTTGCAATATATTGAAAATTAATTATCTTTTTATGAACTTCAAGTTCATATTATCTTATTCGAGGATCGAGATGTATAAATAATAATTCATTCCATGTAACTTTTTTCTCAACTATTTATCATGTCTCCCCCTTATGTTAGAAAAACTAACTTGCTTCCTCAATTTTGAAAATCCACCTTTGTGCATTATGGTGTTAATCAAAATATACACCGCACATCAATAATAATAAGATGAGATTATTTGGTTCCTGACCCTGAACCACTTGTGAGGGGAGAAAATAATATACTTTGGTATACAATGTATATCAAACTGATATAGATAACTTTGTTCTCATAAGCAATTGTTTAGCTATTAAGTGGAGGCACTCAATAAATCATTTTGCTCAACCAACTGTGATGTAAACCAACTTATCAAGATGAACTTCTTCAATAGAAAATTTGGAAATTATGCTCGAAATTAAATTATTGAGCAAGTTACCTCGCAAACACTAGGTTGCAGGTTAATAATAATCGCACATGTAACCATCTCATAGATGCATCTTATGTGGTATACATGGCAGGTGAATGGGCCCATATTCACCTTTGATATTTTCAGCATTCATGGGATTCAATCCCAATTTTAGTTGGTATATTAATTAATGAAAACAGGCAACATAAGAGAATTTGTAAAAACTTTCTAGTTCTTTAATATTTACCCATCTGATTCTCTTTTATTTTTGCACGTCATACTTAAATTGATATGGCTAAACCAATTATGCCAACTGAATAAATTATCAATATTGATAAACTTCAGATTTACACCATGACGTGTGCAATTATCAGTAAACTCCAAGTTTATTATGATATGGGTTTTTATATTAATAAACTTCTCTTTATTATACGGGTAGCTTTTCGCATACATATTACCCCGCTATAAGTTGTAGTAATAGAAAATATTAAATCTTTCCTTTATTTATTGTCTCAGTATGACCAACCGCTTTCGCGAATACTTTAGAAACTCAGTAAGTTTCTTTGAGACTTACTACAACACAATGTCTTATTGATAATCATTTTTCTCCAAAATAGTATAATTGGCTCTTCTAGAGCTCTCAATTAATTTTGTACTACCACATATTCATCAACATCCATATGATGAATATCTCTTTTAAAGAGAAAGTTATACCATTATGGTTATGGTCAAAATTATATGCAAGATGATATATTTCTTGCATTAATGGTATTATTTAATAATCACATTACCAAAATATTTTGGCGTGCAATAGGTACGTGACCAATGACCATTCATGCCATAATAATGACATTATTTTCTTATACCATCTCAAACCTCCTTCTAGAGGTGAGTGTGGTATATTCACTACCACTAGCACATTCATATTCTTACAAGAATGAATATGTATTCATAAATCAGATGCTGTCACATTCACATCATGAATGGACCATAATCATCTATATGTGCTTTATAAAATTTCATGTCAAATCGATGACAAATATTAATTTCACAGAGTGAAGGATTATTTTGAGAATCCTTATTATTCTCATTATCACAATGATGACGATTATAATTTCGTCGATTGCCACGTCCACATCCATTGATACATTCATAGTGATAATTTTGTCTTCTTTCAGACTTATCACATACTGCTATCACATTCTCTTAAGGAAATGAGAATGGAGCAAATTCAATGGGACGAGTTTCCACTTTTTGTGCCCATAACCATACATACTTTGTTGTCTTTGCTCGTATATAAAATCAAATTATAGAATTTCAAGAATTTAAAAGAGAAAAATAAAGTAAAATACTTACCTTAAATCCAGAATTTAATCATGAAGGAAGTTCATGGAATAATTGACAATCATTATGCTCAATCCCAAAGCTTCTACTCAATTGGTTAGAGTCTCGTGCTGATAACGTGTTATAAAACAGTAAAAGAAGAAGAAGAGTATTGCAGAGAAAAGTAAAGAGAGAATTCTTATTGATTTTGGATGATTTACAATGGAATAGAACCCTTTATTTATAGGGAGATGGTGACTTAGCCACCAAGCAATGAACCCTAAAATCTCTCTAAATATGGACATTCACCATAAATAAAATTCTATTTATAACACAGAAGAAGTAGTAGTATTGGACCAAAGTTTAAATACTTTGCAAATGCTAGAAAGTAGCTATCGGTGCACTTCTCCCTTCATCTTTTTCTTGAGAAATTTTTATCTTTTTATAAACTTATTTATCTTTAGAGAGGTTATCACTTAATTAGTTAATTACGTTAAGTTAACATATTATAAGTTATCATTTATATACAAAAGAATGTATTAAACTTCATTCTTATTACCCGTTTCAGGCTTCATTTTTCGCTATTACTTTCCCCCCTTCTCTCTCTCGTGCCTTTCTCTCTCGATTTCGTTCATCAATAGTTTATTTGTTTCAGCTTTTATTTGTTTTTTAGTTCTTTATTAGTATGGATATGGGTTTTTGATCTGCAATTCTTTGATCGTCTCTGTTGAGAAGTTAAGATGGCCAAGCAATTCAAGAAGGCGATCAGGGTTTGGGATTTTTTTTGAGTTCCTTTTTTTTGGTGCGTATTCAGTTTGCAATTAGTTGTGTCTTCTTTTTCTTTTTTAGCTGATTAGAGACAGTTGTTTGTATGCTAATGTTTGATCAGGATTAGAGAACGGTAAAACGTGAAAACATAAGCTTAAACTTTATTGACGGCCACTAAAAAGCTTCGAAGCATTAAGTTCGAATATTGGATTCTGTGAAATTGTCATGTATTAGACACAAACATACATGAACCAAAAAGGGAGAAGTTTAAAAATAGTCAGATTAAAGTGGTCATTCAAAAATAGCTACAGTTTCAAAAGTAATCGAAATTTAGCTACTTTTCATATAAAGATAAATCTGAACGAAAATACTGTTCAAAATCTGAAAAAATACTTCAGTATATTATACTGGAACTCCTGTATATCCAGCATAATATACGGGAACTTTCCGCATATTGGAGTTCCAGCATAATATGCTGGAAGTTCATACACGGGTGCACCGATCTCCAGTATATTATGCTGGAACTTTACGTGTTGCAGCAAAATAGTGGCTATTTTTCAATAACTTTGCAAACGCTGGCTATTTTTGAGTGACTAATCCGAAAACTGAGGAGGCACAGGCCTGCCATTAGAAGAAACCAAAGGCAATTAGTTCATCTTTGAATCTATTTTTACAACCCCAAATCCTTTATATCTATGCAAGGTCATGTTCGTAACACATGGGCTAAGACCTAAATTTGCAACCAAATTGATGCAATTATTTTTGGCCCGTTCTAAATAGAAGATTGTATTTGATGATTCATTACAAATGTTATTTTAGTTATATAATCTTTTCACCATAGATCAATAAAAATAAAATATAAAACTTGTAATAAAATATATGAGTTCTTCGTAGATTTTCTACCACTCAAATTATAATATGCGAGATAATTTCCTGGTAATATTGTTAGCCTTAATCAAATTATATTGAAATAAGGCTCCTAAAGAACAAAATTGAAAGAATTGTTTTTGAACAAATCATCATCAAAAACAAATACAACGAGAACTGAGAGAGAAAATGAATTTAATTAAACAAACTGAAAAATCTGTTAATTACAAGAAGTTGCCCCTTTTATTTGATTGGCAGTAAAGTGACAAACACCATAAACTCGATGTTGTACCTTAACACTAAATTACAATAATGTAGCTAACCTTTTTTTCTTTTTCATTTTTGATACATTTTAATGTAGCAAAGTCTACCACGTTACAGCTAAAACGAGATATAATAGGACCAATTGTCCCCATAATAGGCATAACAATTTCAGTCTTTTTATATGGATAAATCTAGTCTATCTGTTATTATATGTGAAGACGAATGAAGAGACTGTAGATTCTAGAACGAAAGCTTGTGTTAGTGCTATAATGAGCAGAGTTTTAACTATCTCCGCCACCGCCGCGGTGGTGCCGTTCACCCACTACCCCAACTCTATCCTTCCACGTCACGTACGCCTCTCGAATCTGCCTTCCTCTCTCACTGTAACAACCCATACTCTTACATTTCGCGGACGATTCTTCTCGCCGTACAGTTCCCAAGCCGTTCCCGGTCCTGCCGACGCCGGTTTAACAGGTGGTTTTGATGCTATAATTGGAGATGGTGGCTCAATGCTACAGGATGCGGGAGCCACGGCTTTGGTCATCGCCGGTGCTTACGCCCTTGTTTCCACTTTCGATTTCTTATCCGAGCGCAAGCTCATTGAACAGGTTCCCTCTCTCTCTCTCTCACACACACACACAGGCACGCCCTCTTATATGTGTGTGCTATATGTATGTGTAGCCGTGTAGGTTATATGTAGCTGTAAATGTCAATGTACAGAGACTCGTAATCAACAAAAATTGACATTCTTATCAAATCTTAGTGGAGGCAAAAAGTATTAGGTGATTTCTCCCCATCACCTAAGCCTTTGTTTACAAAGACGGGTGCGTGCCAGGATTTTCACCTAGGGAGTCAAAATATAAAAAAGTAAATACACTAAGAAAGTCAGAGATTCCGGTGAAGGGGAAAATTTGACACCCCTTGGACAAAGGTGGCTTTGCCAATGCTTGCCAATGCGCATAGTTACCCAATACCTGTGCTGGTGGGAGATTGGGAGGTAACAGGGTATCTGGTGGAGTAGTCGGCAGACACCACCGTCATGCCGGGCCGCTCCACTACGAAAGCTATTCACCTTATTAGGAGGTGCTCTGGAGATGTCTTGAGGCAAAGGGCGTGCCGGTAGCCTACATACGAGCGATCAAGGACATGTATGATGGAGCTAAGACTAAGGTTAGGACGGTGGGAGGCGACTCGGAGCATTTCCCGGTTGTTATGGGATTACACCAAGGCTCAGCGCTTAGCCCATTCTTATTTGCCTTGGTGATGGATGCTTTGACACACCATATTCAAGGGGAGGTGCCATGGTGTATGTTATTTGCTGACGACATAGTTCTAATTGATGAGACGAGGGCCGGTGTTAACGAGCGATTGGAGGTTTGGAGACAGACCCTCGAGTCTAAGGGTTTCGAATTGAGCAGGTCTAAGACAGAGTACCTGGAATGCAAGTTTAGCGCTGAGTCGAGGGATGTAGGCGGGGACGTGATGCTTGGGCCACATGTCATCCCCAAGAGAGATAGCTTCAAGTACCTTGGGTCGATGATTCAGGGGGACGGAGAGATCGACGAGGGCGTCACTCACCGCATAGGGGCGGGCTGGATGAAATGGAGGCTTGCATCTGGAGTCTTGTGTGACAAGAAAGTGCCACCGATACTCAAAGGTAAGTTTTATAGAGCTGTAGTTAGACCGGCCATGTTGTGTGGGGCAGAGTGTTGGCCGGTTAAGAACTCTCATATCCAGAGGATAAAAGTAGCAGAGATGCGGATGTTGAGGTGGATGTGCGGACACTCTAAGATAGACAAGATTAGGAATGAAGATATTCGGAAGAAGGTGGGCGTCGCCCCTGTGGATGACAAGATGCGGGAAGCGACGCTCAGATGGTTCGGGCACGTGCAAAGGAGAAACCTCGAGGCACCGGTGAGGAGGTGTGAGAGGTTAGCCGTGGTGGGTACGGGAAGAGGTAGAGGGAGACCTAAGAAGTATTGGGGAGAGGTGATCAGGACATGGGACGACTGCTCATTTCCGAGGACATGGCCCTTGATAGGAAGGCCTGGAGATCACGCATTAGGGTTGTAGGATAGGGGTAGTAAAGCTTTCCTTACTTCATTCCGGGGGTGAGGCGGGGTTGGATTAGGGTTGGTCTTAGATGGCTTGCAGTTTATGTTGGACCCACACTATTCTTGTTGTTTGTCTTAGCCCCGGGCCTTAGATTATGGTTACTGTTATTGCATGTCATTCATCTTTCGGTTTTTATGTTTCTGTTATTATTACGATTTCCACTGGAGTTACTAATGATTTCCCTCCTCTTGTTTTTTTCTTACTTTATTTTTGTCTTTCTGAGCCGAGGGTCTATCGGAAACAACCTCTAGGGGCAGGGGTAAGGTCTGCGTACACATTACCCTCCCCAGACCCCACTATGTGGGACTTTACTGGGTAGTTGTTGTTGTTGTTGTTGTAATCTTGTTCAGTTTCATGAAAAATTGACAACCTTTCCATGAAAACCTTATGCAATTTTTTCTTACCTGGAATCAGGATCCCTTAATAGCTCATTCAAACTTGTGGTGATTGAAACTATTTATAGAGAGGAAATCAGTTAGTGCTGAGATTTCTAGAAATTGACTCTTCAAAATTTGGCTTATTTCGGATGTAATAACTTGGTATCCATAAATAAACTGCCCATATTCTTTTACAGTGAAAGAGCATTACTGGTCTTTCTACGACACTCCACTCTCTTATTTTTAGCCATTCCTATTATTATTTATTTGAGATATTAAACGAAAGCTCACAGAATTACAACATGCTCTGAATACTTAAAAACCTTCTTTCTGGGAAGGGGGAGGAAGAAAGAAACAAAAGGTAGAAGGATTGTGATCTTGTGAGACGTCAAACATTAAAGGTTCTTGTAACATATTATAATGGCCGTGTGATCTCTTGATTTTAGCAGCTTTTGTTTCTTGGGATATTTATTTCCTCTTCATTCATTGAAACAGAATTTAAGCAGAAAGCTGGTCCACATATTGTCTGGTCTGCTTTTTATGGCTTCCTGGCCAATTTTCAGGTATTATTTTGTCTTACGTAGATGATTGCAAAACCATATTTGAAAGTTCTCTCTGATGATTTAGATCTTAGATTAGTGCATCAAGATGGGCACGCTACTTTGCTTCTGTAGTTCCACTTACAAACTGTTTGAGACTTGTGATTAATGGCCTTTCTTTGGCTACTGATGAGGGACTTCTAAAATCTGTTACTCGGGAAGGAAAGCCAGAGTAAGTTCCAGAATCCCTTTTCTGCCTCTTTCAACGTATACATGGTATTGATTCATGTCTTATATTTCAGCCTTTTCCTTGCAGAGAATTGCTTAGAGGGCCTCTATATTATGTTCTAGTGTTAATTTTGAGTGCACTTCTCTTTTGGCGTGAGTCACCAGTTGGAGTAATTTCGTTAGCAATGATGTGTGGTGGTGATGGTAACAGCTGAAGCTCATATTACTTAGTCTATGATTAGTTCCTTTTGTACTACTTTTTTTTCTGACTTTGTTCTATGTAGGAATTGCTGATATTGTTGGAAGAAGGTTTGGGTCCATAAAAATCCCTTATAATAAACAGAAAAGTTTGGCTGGTAGCCTCTCCATGTTTGTTCTCGGTTTCCTGGTGTCCATTGGGTAGGTTTTTGCCCCTTTTATGTTTATGTTTAGAGATTTTGTTGTAAGCTTTATGCTGATGCTAGACTTTTTCATATGGTTAAAGGATGCTCTATTACTTCTCGGCCTTGGGATATCTTCACTTGGACTGGGTTTCAACTGTAGAAAGAGTAGCTGTGGTGTCATTTATAGCAACTATGGTGGAGTCTCTCCCTATTACTCCAACGGTAGACGATAACATTTCTGTTCCTTTGGTAAGCATGGTTGTAGCATCGTTGGCTTTTGATTTATTAGCTTAGAATGCCCTCATCTTCCCAGCCTTATGCTGTCCTGATAAAATTGCATTGTGAAGTGATGATTCCTGCTTTATCTTCTTGTGGTGCCCTTATCTGTATCCTCAAGTGGTTCCTTGATGCTAATGGTGCATATTTCATTAAAACAATTTATTGTTTAGCATACTATCCACCGCCATCTTTTATGTTGGAATTAGATCTAGAAAGACATTTATGGTGTATCTATTGAACTATAACTTGTGTAACGTTGAGCTCTGTTTCTATATACCTTTTTCTTCTTAAAATTTGTCTTTAAAGTTAAAGCGGTTCCACAGTAGAAAATTACACAGGTGTCACACTCACTGTTATGTCATTGCATTCACATTCGTACTCCGCACTGGTCCATTGAAAGAGTTTTGTAAACAGAGATTTGACTGAGAAGTTTGAAAAAAACTAGCCGAGAGAATTGCCAAGAGAAGTAGTCTAGGCGTTTGGACATAAGAATTGTAAAATTCAAAAAACAGTGTATTTTATTTTTCAAGTGAAAATGGTATTTGAAAATTAGAGTTGTGTTTGGACATGAATATAATTTTGGGTTTTTTGAATTTTTGTAAGTGATCTGAGTGAAAATTCTGAAAAATGACTTTTTGGAGTTTTTCAAATTTTCGAAAAATTTCAAAATTTATCTTAAGTGAAAATTGAAAATTTTATAGCCAAATACTGATTTTGAAAAAAAATGAAATTTTTTTCGGAAAAAAGTGAAAAAATTCCTATGTCCAAACGGGCTCTAAGTTCGAATTCATTAGAGAAGAAGGCTTACAACTTATAATAGCTAGAAAAGTGGAGAGAAGCAGATGTTCTGCTGATCTCACCCTGTAACTACTTGACAGGGACCAAATGGGAAGGACTTTTAAAGTCTCACTCCTCAAGCCTCATGTACCACTCTTCAAAGCTTAAAATTCCTTGTGCACATATCAAATCCCACTTGTTACATTCCATGCTCTCCAAAATTTCTTGTCCCCAAAGAAATAGTGATGAAAAGCGATTGCGCGTTAGTTAATAATTACCTGCTCTGGAGCTGCATCCATCTACTGAACAAGAACTTGAGTAGCAGCTTTGTTTCCACGCTTAATCATTCGTATAGCTAGGATGGTGTTAGTATCTGCACAATAGGGACTGAAAATATCAACTACCGGATGGACGACCGTGGAATGAACCTCGTAGAAAGGCTTGGAATGTGGGGTGCACAATAACATGGTCAAGTAAAGAAAGTCTGTAGGTAACGGGACCAATTTTCTGAGGCTAGTTTGGTAGGGGCCATGATACTCAGAGGCGGATCCGAGATTTTAGGTTTATGAGTTCTGCATCCATAGCTTTTTTTTGCGTATTAAGTTCTGAAAAAATTATTTATATATTAAGTCAATTTCTTAACACAAATATGAGGCTTGGGCAAAGCTATTGGGTTCTACCGAATTGATAACTTCAACATTATTGATTCGCCCCTGAATATGTGAAACCTGCATGGGCAATCGATACTGCAAAATTTATTGGTGTTTCAATTAGCCGGAATATGCACGCTCACTATGGTTTCAGAAGCAGTTATAATCCAAAACTTTTCAGAACTTTACAGTAGCATAGCCGATAGAAAATCAGAATTTAGCAGCCGAAAGATCATTGGCATGCATAGCTAGGAGAAAATTCTGTAGGCAGCTTCCAGTAGTTTTCTCTTTTTCTCCCTGTTGGTATAATATTTGCCTATTTGATTTATCAGCTTTATAACTCCCCCATTGTAAATTTTGAGTTGGGGATTTTATACCATTTCAATTTTTTTTTTGATGAACTCCAAATATGATTATATTTTTCAGTCAAATGCACAATCTTTTTAGATACACAAGTTGGTAGTTTTTTTGCTATCCTTTTCTCACCTATCCAAGACATACTTTTTATTACTTAAACTAGTCAATATGCCCGCGCTTTGCGCGGTTCTGAAAAGATACAATATGAATGAAATTTAATGTTAAAAATTTTATTGTTTGCTCAAAAGTTATCACATACCTTATGAGTATAAAACAATATAAATGAATCACGGGAAAATCATAGCAAACCGTAATAATCCGTTGGATCAAATGAAGAACTTGAAAATAAGTACTCAAGGTTAGGAGAAGAAATCTTAACAGCTTTTATTGACAATATTGGTTTGGTCTGCCTCTCCATGAAGAGGTTCAGAG